GCGCCACACACAGGACTACAATTCCCACATGGAGCTACAATTCCACGTACACACACAACCAGGGGGAGGTTTGATTCTGCTGGATGATGTTAGTGGCATGCCTATTACATTTTCTAGGGGTGTGGTATGATAGTGACACACTTTTAGAGGGTTAAATCTAGTAATATGGTCTCTAAAACAAATGGGGAAGAGATAGAAGGAACAGACATCTTCTTCCGGCACTTTGGATCAGTTATTGGCGGCAAAGGATCCAGAATAAAGAAATATGACAAGGACTGACACATGGAAGGGCAGTGATGAAAGAGATCTATAAGCAACCTGCAAAGATCAGAGTTGTCCGGGCTGTGTTATGGTCTTCTGTCACTTTTTACAGAGGTGAAAGTTGGACAATTAGTCCCTGTTCACACCTGGGGGTTTTGATGCTGAAAGCTTATACAGGTGAAACTCGAATATCGTGCAAAAGTAATTGCAGTAAGTGCTGCAAAAGGGGCCCAAACCAAGTACTGAGTACATATGCATGCTTGTACTTTTCAGAGGTCGGATATTGTTCTATGTACAATCCTTGTTTTATTGATTGCATGTAATAATCTACTTTTTTGAGGTTGTGGATTTGGGGTACTTGGGGTTTTCATGAGCTGTAAGCCATAATCATCACAATTATGACAAATCACGGCTTGAACTATCTTGCTTTGCATGTAATGAGTCTATCTCATATATTAGTTTCACCTTTTAAGTTGCATTAGTGAAATAAATGAACTTTGCACGATATTCTAATTATTCGAGTTTCACCTGTATGTCAAAACACACAACACAAGAATACCTATTCATTCCTATGGCCCCTGGTCACACCTGAGAGTTTAGCAGCAAGCTGTAAAAACGCTGAACACTGGAAAATGTGCATGAGCTTCTTTCAGGCAGATTAAGCACGTTTGGGCTCCATAGATTTCAATGTAAAACGCACCAAAAACGCATGTTTGCTGTTTTTGTGCAAAAAGAATATGCGTTTTTAAGGCGCATATACATTGTGGAAGACCACCTTCAAAGCACACTGGGGAACAAAATGGATGATTCATGTCTGTCAAATTTTGAGGCATTTATTAGGCTAATATAGGCACAACCATGCCTGTATGACCTGCACAACCCTTTTATAAAAACAGAGGAAGGAGGAGTTGGGGCTTGGATGCATATTGTTTGGCCAGAATGGGAATCTTTTCCTCCATCTCTGAAGAATAGCAAAGGTAAAGCACGTGCATGTGGTGCATCTAAAGTTTGTTGTGATACTGTTGTAGCTTATGACTCTGCTTGTGTGGCTATTGTAGGTCTGTGCAGCTGCAGATCTCCATGTGTTGTGGGACTACAAATCCCAGTATGCAGCTACCTCTGGGTGCCGTGCCTGTTTCTTTTCTGGGTGTACAGACTTTTATATGCATCACAGGACTTGTAGTTCCACAGCTGCTGAAAGGCTGATGTTGTTAACCCCTTGGCTAATGTGTAGGAGTTAAGAAAATATTGTCTTTAGGATTCTGCATAGCTTTCCATAGCGCAACCAAACATGCTTTGGATGAGTACATCTTTACGGTCTTGTCTCCGCTCTCTTCATGATAACAACAAACAGGAATTATGTCATGGGCAGGACTTTTTTTAATTGGACAATGCTCAATATACCCATATGCAGAATGACATCTAAAATGCGCATCTATTTAGGAGAAAATGCACACAAAACGCGTTAAGCGGGCAGAAACTCTGGCGCCTAGGTGTGAATGGAGCCTTAAGAAGCAAGATAGGAAAAGTATTGATGCCTTGAACTTGGGCCATGTTCAGGAATTCTAAGAATACCATGTGCAGCAAAGGAGTTAAACAATTGGATCCTTCTACAAATCAAGCCCAACATTTCACTAGAAACTCATATGACTAGACTGAAACTGTCTTATTTTCTCTATGTTATGAAAATAGACAACTTACTGGAAAAGGGAATTATGGAAGTGTTGAAGGGAAATGAAGAAGAGGAAGACCATCAACAAGGTCACTCAGAAGCTGAGGTTTTGGGAACTCACATGATCAGTTTTCTCATGGCAGAGTGACGCATCTAAAGTGCATCGAGGGACAGTGATCTATTCCTAACCACATGTAATTGTGTTACATGCGGAGTGCTGGCGGTCGGTGTCACCTGCCTATTAACTTGAACAGGCGACAGCTGTCATTTCTAAACAACATATTTGGGATTCCTGCTGCAGGAATCCTTAAGCACAATGCACATCCTAGTGGAAATGTAGCCTTAAGCTGGCCATAATTATCAAGCATATAGATTATCTGCAGATTTCTCTGGTCAGATGGAAAAAGTGCAACCGATTCCTCCATCTACACTAAACTGTGTGGTTGGAGGAATCTCCCACTGGGCCAAGCTTCAGTATCTTGCTAGTCGGCCCCGCTGGCTGTCAAAATACCTGAACAATCTGATTGGATGCAGGCATTGTTCAGTACTAGTATCGGTATCTGGCCCAATACAGGGCATTTTCACAAGTACTTGTACTCGTGAAAATGCCCCGATACTGAAGGATGATACTGGCCTTTTAAATTGGACCGGCCACCTCAGGGCCTGCGCTTGTGGGGTCCTGAAGCAGCCTTCTGGGAACCTGGCAGTAGCTGTCTTTGACACTGCCTGCCAGGTCCCACATACCCTCCTCCTCGCTCCTGGTGCAGGCACAGCTCGAGGCAGCCCCACACCACGAATACAGCCTCGGAGCAGGCACGAGACTGGCACTCGCTCAGCACAGCACCTGTCAGAGCCATGGAGAGACCCAATATGACATCTGTATGCAGCACTGGAGAAACGCAATATGCAGTCCTGGTGACATCTGTATGCAGTGCTGCAGAGACCCAATAAGCAAGCCTGGTGAGATCTGAACGCAGCTTTGGTGAAATTTGTATGCAGCCTGGTGGGATCTGGAGTCCAGATGTCACCAGGCTGCGTCCAGATTCTGAACGCAGCCTGGAGAGATCTGTATTTAGCTCTGGTGAGATCTCTATTCAGCTCTGTTGAGATCTGTATTTAGCTCTGGTGAGATCTCTATTCAGCTCTGGTGAGATCTCTATTCAGCTCTGGTGAGATCTGGACGCAGCCTGGTGAGAAACTGTAGTCTGTATTGTTTTAGAAAAAAATGTCACATATCCCTTTAAGAAAAAGTAT